AATAAAAGGGTAAGCACGCTCCTTGAGTTTCTACGAATTTTACGTTCCAATTGAATCCATAATTGTATGCAACTGGTGGAATACACTCGTTAACAAGCTGTAATAAGTTGTAATGCTTTAACCAACAAGCTATTCAGGAGAAACTGGGATGCCATTTGCGTTTTCAAAACAGTGTTCGATTCCCAAAATATGATCTCCTTTTTGCAGTTCCACGATAGATTGCGAACCGAAACCTTCTGGTGATTTAGAGTCTTCATGATGTCTTTGTTAACCAGTTAAAGAAAGTTCGGGTGTGCTCACTACTAATCTGAAAGTATTGTCGTCCTTCTCCGCCATTGCACCATCGGTTCGTGAGTTCTAGATAGTTTATAAAAGCAAGTCATACAATCATTGTGCAAGGATGTCACGAAAAGGAGTAAGGACACGAAGAGTGCAAGACAGGGCAGTAAAACCTGTATCAGGGACCTCTATACAATCAGCACAGCAGTATGAGCGAGATCGAGACACTGACCAGCCTGTGCAATAGACCGACGGTCGCTGGCAGTATGTCAGAGGTGCACCTCCAAAGATTGAGATGAAGTCATTTTCATCGGTGGCGCATAAACAGTTTGCGGTTTCCTCCGGTCCCCGGAAGTACGTACTGAAGCTTTGGCAGGCCATCCCCGGACTTTGGTAAAAGCACAATCTACACAGGCTCTACCTGTCAACCACCCCAAAGTTTTTTATTGAGCCTATCTACACTTGTTGATACAGACTCGCATCACAATCAAATTCCACGACTAACTATAGAGCACTCCAAGCACTAATACAAGCTGTGTACTATCCATCTGCAAGGAAAACGACGACTATGGACAGAGTTTTCCGTCAAGAAAAAAGTTGGAGGACACGGAAATGGCTTAATTGGCCATCTCGTGTACGCACCCAAATTTAGGCAGCGTGAGTGGTAACGCTATATGAGAATCCGATGTGATGTAGTAAATATGTGGATCCACGTACAACCATCACGAGAGAGGGGGTCATATAGTTTGGAGGGCCTACAAAATAAGCTCACTTGTTGACAGTAATTGAGTAAGTAGACGTGTGCGCAGGGGTGATATATCACCGCCAGCGCTCCTAAACACGACAGACGACGCCAACAGCAGGCACATCCATAGAAGTCCATTTGAGGACCACTAGCTCATTTCACCTCACTGGGAGGGGGGCAATGGTCACCAGTAGTGGGGCACGAGAGTATTAACTCCACCAGCAAATTCCTTCAAATGGCCGTTATAATTGACCAAGCAAGAATGTGGGCAAACTTCCACCTCTTAAACTGAAAATGATAGATGTCCGATGGACTGCACATAAGGAAAATGCGGAAGGTCGGAGAAGAAATTTCAAACAAACTTCAAAATCTTCGGGTATTGAGAACCCGTTTCAGAGAGCAAATTAAAATGAAGCTTCTTCAGTTATACGTGTAGTCCTCGGCGCATCTTAGAAAACCAATTCCCAAATGACTGAGCAAATGCGAATCCGAGGTAGGGCTAGTTTAGTTTGTATTTATTGTGAGGAGTATAAGTGGCAGATTCGCCATGACTACGAGTAGGTTAGCTAGTAAATCTAAGAGGGTATACGGGATTAGTGGGTAATCTGTGGAAGATGATGGAAACTTGTTGAAAGACACCTAGTGTATTAAGAAATATACGTAACGACATAGCTGAAATGGTCTTTCCGTCATGTAAAGATGGATTGGCAGCCTGAAACCAAGATAAACGGGTCTATTGTGAATCTTTATAACGTTTAGTCAGTTGTCACGCAACCCGGGAGAGACAGGAACGCTCATGCAGTGGTTCTTAGGAAAGCCCTTTGAAGAAAGACTATCCAAAAAGACAGGTGCAAGTTGTTTGCTTCATCAGATTTATGTGGCACTTTATATACCTTAAAAAGTAGCACACCGAAACTATGGAGCCAGACATAATAAGTGGTAGTAAGTACCTTCGCAAAAAAGAAACATCATTTTATCGCAATTCTACCAACAGGATAAGCTTTCCCACTGATCCCTCATGAAGGGAAATCAAATTCCTGAGTGAATGACATTTTTCAAGTTTGAGGCCTGAATTGGGTTATGCACCTTATTGCAACCTGCCAGACCAACTACTTTCCGGAGCAATAGTTGAGCTGTAGACAATTTCCACCAATATTCCTCACATCAAAAGATGGATGAATTTCGGGTCGCTTTGTCATGATTTTCTCCAAGCCTAATTTCTCCAAACCCAATTTCTAAGGAGGAAAGAGAAATAAAACAACGTGCGACTACAGGGAATTGTTACAACCACTATCCCCGTTTTCTCGGCGTAGCCTTCAACAGTCACTTGTGCGGAAACTGGTTACGGTCAACCGCTGGTTGGTCGCTAATTTTGGAAGGGTACACACTTTACGCAAGACATGCTGTATCAGTCAGAGTCCATTTGAAAGGGCAAAATGGTAGTTGAATGCTCAAGCAGCACTTTGAGGAGCACCAACTGCTAAATTGTATGGGGGTATTATGGCTCACCAGTGGGTTGGGTTTTCGATCTTCTGTTGAATCAGTCGCCAAAAACTCTGTCTATTTACCAGAGTACAGTAGGGTAAAAATGACACTAACGTTCCGACATTCATCTGTTTTTACTTTTAGGAAATTAAGTAGCTTTTCCTTCTGTACAATTTTACAGATTCATTTAACGACGGTCCGAAATGTGAATGGATTGGTCCCATAGCAAAGTGCAACTTGTCGGATAAAGACCAAATGGCTACAATGGGGACGACATGAAGGCATACGGAAAAGTATTTTTCATAAAAGACCATCAACTGTAAACAAGAGTTGCTACAAAATTGGATCGCAGAGGAGCGCAATGTTCGAAAGGACTTTCGTGAGTGCTTTGTTATGGATACACAGCTGGTTTTGAAGACGAAGTATCAGCTAAGTAGTTCATACTATTAACCGCCAGTATAGCACACATCGGCTTCGAAAAGTTGCACAATAAAGGAATAACTAATAAATTCTACTTAAATCCTAGTCAATAAACAGCGGTTTATTCAACGGTTACGAAATTTCGGATTGAAGATAAATAAGGCCATTATTCCAGGTAGTTTGAAATTGTAAAACACATAACTCGCCAATCAACACTATCCCAAATGGTGAAAAAGAGCCCTATCAATATGCACAATTTCGTGCATCTCCAATGGCTAGTAAACTGTGACGGACACAAGATAGTAGTCTCTACTGCAAGTTTGGTCAATCGGTGGGTGTTCGGCCACAGAGTTCCCCTGTCAGCCGTCAGTGTAAAGATGGAAATTTATAGTACAGCCTATTTTCAAGTGGTATAACTTCGCACCTAAATTTCGACGGTTCTGCCCCATTGGCACTATTTTCAATTATCTACATGCATTCAGACACTCTGATAACAGGAATCTTTATGCACAATGTCCGGTAAAGAATGAATAGCTTTCGGCACAGTTGACGCCTACAATACTGATTTTGTCTATGATTAGGAAATGAGCCGAAAAAGCATGAAATTAATTAAACAAAGGCATATACTAGGGCTGCGGACAGTTCAAGTACATTTCCAGATGTTAGCTGATTATGTAAAAAGGCGTCTAAAAGTGCTTCGGGCAGCAACACAAAGGACGTTTAAATAACACAAACGACGAAATCCGAAACGGTTTTATCAGTATGTTTTAATCAGCGGAATTTTCTAGTGTGGGACTTTAGAGTGAGCACATTGTCACCTGGAACAGGCTAGCGGCTAAACCTTAAGCCAGGCATTGAATTGTCCCATCAGCTCACCAGTGACATATTCCTTTTCCTACCAGTAACTTTGAGTTTTGTTAATTTTAGTCATATAGTTGATACGGTTGTTGGCCCCTATGAACTGAGATGGTTAAACAAATCATCATGGAGAAGCACAGTTAGCATCGGATTTTTTCTGCCATTAAATCTACACAGTCCTCTCCGTCTGTGTATTACCGTACAGAGGTTGCAAACTTCACATTGCACATGATTTATTACCATATCGGTGGGACCTAACTAGTGCCCGACTACCAACGTGGTATCTGCATTTAAGCTGCTTGTAGTTTCCTTGGCATGGGGCACTGATATCATTCAACTCCAAGAAAAAAAAACTGAAATACGTTACCACAGGTAGCATGTTGACCATGAGTGTAAGTATGGTGTATTACCGCTCAAGTGGTTAGAACGCGAATCTATTGACCGTAAGTTCTGTCTGTCGAACCCGACTTCTGCATCTTGACTTCCCTTGTCTTGGCTTGAGCAACCTGGAACTGACCCAGCCCTCGTGCTCCCTTCAAGTGGCGTGGCAGCTAGGCACCGGAAGGGTCTTACAGCCGGATGACTTATATTTTTATTACTGCCTAAAACTGTGATAAAATCACAGACTGCCCTTCACAACGTCGAACATTTACTGTTATCGTCTGGGGTAGAAAAGGCAACTTGCCCAATAGAGTGGGGGGGACTGAATGACATGAGGTAAGTGTACAGTATACATCACGGGTCACCGGAGTTCTGAGTCCTTTAAGGCCAACAGTTTATCGCATGATAATCCACATCACATGCAAAAACTGTAGAGCCGAATGTCTCTGCGCCATTATCACCTACTTAGGGGCCAAATATATGACGCGGGCGCATTTTTGCGATTTGAAGAACCATCGGCTGTGGGATGGAGCCCAAAATTTGTGTTTGCACCGACGGGCCGCATAGCTACCTCAAAACGGATGACATCGTTGGCAACATTTTTAACGAGTTACAGTCTACTTGGTTTTGCTATCATTCATCCGTTTCAATGGGTTCCACGAAGAACATCGGAATTGAGATTCACAAATAAAACATAGAAAGTCCTAGGCTCTGCACAATTAAATTCACCTTACAGAATATTCAAATGGTTTCACTTTGGCATTTAAAAGGATTCTCTCAGCGAAGTATCAGACAAAAGGTAAACTTCCTATAAGTTCACTCAACCACATACCTCAACCATATGTGACTTGACAGCACCGTTCCCACAGGTGAGGTTTCCCAAAATGCCAAGAATGCATTGTGACAAAGCTAGCTGATCCCTGGAGTCACCAGCAGAAGCCGAAGTACTCGGTGGTCCTATGATACCAACATGTTGCAGCTGTAACAACAAATGACCGACGACGGACATTAACACACTGAGTTCAAGTTTGTCAACGGCAACATCTGACAGATTGCGCAGAGTCCACAGTGCGTTGGCAATGACTCGTAGCGACCCACAAACAAAACACCGGATGAGGAAACTCAGGGATTTATCTTCACTTAGAACTGAAAGCTTAGCAGGAAGCCATGCTGACATAACACGCATAAGCCTCGTTCCCGTCCACAGAAGCTTTTCGTAGTTAGTATCTTCAAGCAAGCTCAGAAGAAAGCGAACTCCACCGCCATCAAGAAACGCTCTTTTCGTTGCTTCATGTCCATAGGCTAGGATATGTAGACAATCAAATAATATGGCGAGGAATTTGGGATTAACCTGACCGTACTCTGGGGAACATTTTGTGCGCCCTGTAGAAGTACATTCAACAGTACAACGCCTTGCGGAAAACTTGAGCAGGTAAATGAGACGGTTTACGATATGCGAACCTCGAACCAGATCCCGTGAAGACTTTTGAACCAGCAAAATGTTATGGATGGTCGTGACGGTATAGTATAAAACCGAATCGATCGAACTTTCCAAAAAGTGAGACAATATTTCCAGACCCTCCCGGGTCAAAACAAATTCGACTCCGTCTTCAGTGTGTGAAAAATAGTGCAGGATTCCACTCAAAAAATGGAGAACCTCGATTCCATGCCGAGAACTCGAACGAACCACGACGAGTAGGTGAGTCAGAAGCTCAGGGCATGATTGCATCAGTATGTTGCTACAACCATTTCTGCACAAATGGAACAAATATGCGGAAGCGTTTGTGACGCACGTGCCCTCTGCTGTCAATAACAAGTAAACAGCTTGATTTACCAAGACACTTTGAGCCTCTAATGAAAACAGGACGTCGGTCGGGGTAGTCCAATATTCATCACCGGCATCGATTTCCAGCGGTGACCAACTGTTATCAGATCCTGTGGGAACACCAGAGCTAATTCCAGAGTCCAGTGTGTAAGACGAAGCACTCTCGCTAAAGCTGCTTGGTGAATGATTGAAATCCATTTCGAGCTCATCTTCTGAATCCGAAAATACTCGTCTCGGAACTTCCATTCCACCGGAACTGTAGAAGCAACAACCCAAAATCCTCCTTGAAATGAGCCCTAGGTCACAAATTATGACCTTCAGCGGTTTAAACAGGTCGGTTCAAAGAAGACGTTGACGGCTTCACCGATTGATACAGAGGATCGAGGCTTTGCCCAAGTTTCCCGGGTCGGTTTTGTTCTTGTCGGTCAGTGGCTGTCGTTCACCTGAAAGGCACAAGTGAAAAAAGGGTGTGGCACTGCTCTTTATGTTCTCAGTGCGGAGCAGTATGCTTGCCAGCGCGAGGATACGCATATATAAATGTCTAATGGTGCTTTAAAATGGGTTCTAGAAGGAGCGCGAATTCTCCGAACCTGGTGAATTAGCAACTTTTTGAGTGGCATTCTTATTGCATTTGCAGTAATTGCATAAATTAGACTGTGATGTGGTCGTCCGCCGTTCAGTAAGGATTATTTGGTCTGAACAAGAAGCAAGTTGGCGATATTCGCATAAGGCAGATGGGATTCAGAGATTCACGGATTGATACACAGGGTCGAAGCTTTTGCCCAAGTTTCTCGGGTCGGTTTTGTTCTTGTCGGTCAGTGGCTGTCGTTTACCTGAAAGGCACAAGTGTACCACTGGTACTTATAAACATGGCGTGGGGCAGTATGCTTGCCAGCGTGAGGATTCGCATAAAAAAGTGTCTAATAGTGCCTTAAATTGGGTTATAGAGGGAGCGTGAACAACCGTCAGAGGAAGGTCATTCCACGCGCCTACTACCCGAAATGAGAAAAAAATTTTCTAATGAATGTTTGTGCTCTGAAATTAAAAATTTTCTCACTATATGCCCACCGGGTGTTTGCTGCTTCAACGGTAAAAAAACTGCTTGTAAGTAAGAATTAGGTCCCCTCGGAGGCGACGGTACTCCAGGGGAAGGAGATCAAGCATCACGAGACGCGTTTCGTTGTCAACGGATTTGAGGCCGGTAACCATTCTCGTGGCGGCTCGCTGGAGACGCTCAATGAGGGTGACATCCTGGGTGCGCCCTGAGTGGAAAACTTGGTTGGCGTATTCCAGAGACGGCCTGACGTAGGTCTGATAGGGTATTTGGAAGTCCATGCGAGTAATACGGGAGAAGGTGCGTCGGATCATCCGTAAAATGGCGAATGCCGTTTGGGCCGATTTCTCATGGTACAGTGAGAAGGACAAGTTTGAGGAAACCCAGATGCCCAAATCCTTTCTTGCATGTATTCTCATGATGTTTTCTGGTCCTTTCTCGCCATGCATTACAAGGACATCCGCTGAGTCTCCTCTGAATGACATACTGACGCACTTTTCATCATTCAGAGGAAGGTGCCAGTCCAACGACCAATGCTCTGCAGCGTCTACACCCATTTGGAGGGCACTGGCACCGGAACTCCAGGCTTTCAAGTCGTCCGCAAAAAGTAAACATGGACTCGCAAGAACGTCTGGGAGGTCGTTGACGTAGATCAGAAACAGGAGTGGTCCCAAGACGGAGCCTTGAGGAACTCCAATGGAGACCGGCGCTGGAGAGGAATAGGTCGAGCCTATTCTCACTCGGAATGATCTGT